GTGGGTCAGAAGTTTACTAAGTTGACTGTGCCTTTAAACAGCTTGGAAAATTCCAGAAAATGATGTCATGGCTTTAGAAGCTTCTGATAGGCTAATTTACATCATTTGAGTCAATTGGAGGTGTACCTGTGGATGTATTTCAAGGCCTACCTTCAAACTCAGTGCCTCTTTGCTTGACATCATGGGAAAATCAAAAGAAATCAGCCAAGACCTCAGAAAAAAAATTGTAGACCTCCACAAGTCTGGTTCATCATTGGGAGCAATTTCCAAACACCTGAAGGTACCACGTTCATCTGTACAAACAATAGTACGCAAGTATAAACACCATGGGACCATGCAGCCGTCATACCGCTCAGGAAGGAGATGCGTTCTGTCTCCTAGAGATGAACGTACTTTGGTGCGAAAAGTGCAAATCAATCCCAGAACAACAGCAAAGGACCTTGTGAAGATGCTGGAGGAAACCGGTACAAAAGTATCTATATCCACAGTAAAACGAGTCCTATATCGACATAACCTGAAAGGCCGCTCAGCAAGGAAGAAGCCACTACTCCAAAACCGCCATAAAAAATCCAGACTACGGTTTGCAACTGCACATGGGGACAAAGATCGTACTTTTTGGAGAAATGTCCTCTGGTCTGATGATACAAAAATAGAACTGTTTGGCCATAATGGCCATCATTATGTTTGGAGGAAAAAGGGGTATGCTTGCAAGCCGAAGAACACCATCCCAACCGTGAAGCACGGGGGTGGCAGCATCATGCTGTGGGGGTGCTTTGCTGCAGGAGGGACTGGTACACTTCACAAAATAGATGGCATCACGAGGAAGGAAAATTATATGGATATATTGAAGCAACATCTCAAGACATCAGTCAGGAAGTTAAAGCTTGGTCGCAAATGAATCTTCCAAATGGACCCTGACCTCAATCCTATAGAACATTTGTGGACAGAACTGAAAAAGTGTGTGCGAGCAAGGAGGCCTACAAACCTGACTCAGTTTCACCAGCTCTGTCAGGAGGAATGGGCCAAAATTCACCCAACTTATTGTGGGAAGCTTGTGGAAGGCTACCCGAAACGTTTGACCCAAGTTAAACAATTTAAAGGCAATGCTACCAAATACAAATTGAGTGTATGTAAACTTCTGACCCACTGGGAATGTGATGAAATAAATCAAAGCTGAAATAAATAATTCTCTCTACTATTATTCTGACATTTCACATTCTTAAAATAAAGTGGTGATCCTAACTGACCTAAGACAGGGAATTGTTACTAGGATTAAATGTCAGGAATTGTGAAAAACTGAGTTTAAATGTATTTGGCTAAGGTGTATGTAAACTTACGACTTCAACTTTACATGCGCATATGTGCATATCACCACAGGACAGTTGGAGGGCTTGATTAAAAAGCATCTTGGGTAGTTAATTAAATATGGCTGTTCTATTGCCAGGGCTTGACAGGTGGAGGCTGAAGCCACACTAATTCAGTCCTCTGGATCTCTAGGTGGAGCCGGTGGAGCCACAGCACACACCTGAGGGCAGCTGCCACATGGGCCTACACACACGCCAATAGTGAGAGTAACACCCCCAAAACTGTTTGGGAACATTCAGTACGCCTAATTAAAATCCATCCGGTTGTAGAAGAGGTCAAATAAAACCCTTTAGGCAAAATACTTGGTCTAATCTTTATACATGATAATAGTCACCGTTAAGATACACATTTGTATACTACGAGAACAACACAGAAGATAGAGATACTGAAACTTTTTACTGGTTTACCTGACCTGCATGTTGGGGAAGAGCTGGTCATGGGTTTGTCTTCAGGGAAGTCTGGAGGACAGAGTTTGAACCACCCTGTCACAGGAGGCTGGCCAAGCATAGAGACACTTTGTAGTTTTTCTCTTTGAGACTAATTCAATATGGCCGTCAAACGTGGTAGTGTTTTATATACACTGACAACTGTCCAAGGGGTACATCATAGATTGTGTCCCATACTACCATCGAGCAGAAGTAAAGTTGTGTGTGCCCATCAATGTGAATGTGAGCACTGGTAAGAGTTTAGGAGGGTGGCTGTTGTTAGTTTGATCTGGCTCTAGCTCACTCTGCCTTGCTCTGTGAAGACAAACCCTCTGAACAAAAGCCTTTCCACGCGCGACTCATAAAGATTCATTATTGCTTACAGGAACAAAGCATTTTGTGTACATGGACACACAGTGCAGAGTCATGGAGAGCAATGGAGTGGCATAGGAAAAAGAAGGGGAGAGAGGGGAACAGACCTGAACTACCTGGTCTGTTTCTATCGGCTGGGGAAGGGTCATAATGGCATGGGGAGGTAAAAGGGAGGGGTCATACTGGCATGGGGAGGTAAAAGGGAAGGGTCATACTGGCATGGGGGGGGGGGGTAAAAGAGAAGGGTCATACTGGCATGGGGGTTAAAAGGGAAGGGTCATACTGGCATGGGGGTTAAAAGGGAAGGGTCATATAGGCATGGGGGTTAAAAGGGAAGGGTCATATAGGCATGGGGGTTAAAAGGGAAGGGTCATATAGGCATGGGGGTTAAAAGGGAAGGGTCATATAGGCATGGGGGGGTAAAAGGGAAGGGTCATACTGGCATGATGGGGTAAAAAGGAAGGGTCATACTGGCATGATGGGGTAAAAAGGAAGGGTCATACCGCAGAAGTGGGTGAGAGAGAGAGGAACTATGGGATATGTGAGCAAGCAAGTTTAGCTGGGGAATTATAGCATACACTTTTCTGTTTATGGCTTGAAAGTTCAGCGTCTTATAAACAACTGCAGCTATAGAGGACTGCGAGGTGGGGGACCATTTTGACATTTCAGTGGATGGTCCTTGTTGAGCTTTTGAAATGTGGCCCACCATTTGAATTCCCATGTTCCCTTGTCACTCAAGCACTGCTAAAGTACACCTCTACTTCCAAAGGTGTCACATGAAAAGTACATTACAATCCTGGGGGCTGTGAGGCTTGATATCAACACAGAATATTGTGCTGCCATCCTGCTGACCTTACAGTGGTGATTTTAAATAGTAGACTTATAAGACAGACCACATGAATACCCTCAACACGTATACACACACCCACACACGTACGCCTGCACACATTCATATGTGAATTTACGATAAATTCCAATAAGCAATTGGTGCCCCGTGCGAGGAACATTTAGGATTGGAAAGATGTGCGCTTTTTTTGCTCTCAAAAAGAAGCAGAAAGCTTTAAAAAAACAGGTGATGTGGGTGGGGGTGGGGCTGGGGATGACGTTGGGGAGACTCTGGGCATTTGATAACTACCCTTATATATTCGACTTTATGGTTGTCTTTCATAATTGGTCAGAAAATGGCAATTGGTGTGGTCCGCTGTTCCAAGAGTCAAAATGCAGGTGTTGCTTACGCAAAGGGAAAGATACAGAAGCATGGACATATTTTTGCCCAAGAGTCGGTGTGCTGATCCACATCCTGCTCTCTCAGAGTGGAACACCAGGATAGAATGCTCAGATTCGCGAGGATACGGTGGATAGCTGCTAAAGTATACATGTACATTATTTCCTATCCCACGATCAACAAACACCTCCAGAATAGTGTGTCCTCCAGGTGTACTGCATCCAGAAATGGTTGTCTTACATCCACAGTCCAAAACCCCACTACTGTCTCAGTCCTACTGGCCCGTCTATGAAGGTCCCGGGAGGGCTCCATGTACATTCTACAACTGGAATACATCTACTCTCTGGGGCTGCTTCATGATGACTGTCCAAATGGCCTTCTGTAAATGACCACCATGTTCTTCAGTGGGGAGGCCACCAGGCGACCAACTGCTAGATGTTTCAGGGTAGCAGTAAGCAATGACAGTGACTGGGAACTGACTGACTGACTGGCTGGGGGTATTTCTCTGTGTGACTGTGGGCTAGTGAGGGGATTTGGCCACTCATACCATGTGTCCTTGTCTCCTGCTCCTGGGAACTCAGTGGGATTGGGGAGGGCAGGAGGGGGTGTGTTTAAATTTTTGTATTTATGGAAATGGCACAATGTGTTAGTAAGAGTTAAAAATGTCAGGAATGGCACAAACAATTCCTGTTTTCTTAAAGGTGAAAAGATGGTGAGTTTTTCCAACTGAACTGTCGTTCATATATATTAAACAATGGTTGTCTGGGCCAGAAGAACGGAGGCACATTTTACAGAATCTAGTCATTGCTATATAGCATCTTCTATGGAGTTTCAATAGAAAAAACATTCACATTTGAAAGGATGGTGAGATTAAGATTAATTTATTATATTTGTCAAACAAGAGATGAAGTATTTGACATTCATCATTCTTATGCTCTATTGTTGTTAGTGAAATTACAAAGCAGCATAGTTGTTGGTTAAGTAGCCCCTGTAAGCGATATGAAGCACATGGGTCCATATTGTAATGGGAAGCCTAGAAGGGTCTCTGTTGACTGAGGCTTGAAATTCCCATAACATGTTCTGCTGAGTTGTCTGAACTATCTTGGCCCAGTAAGTCTGACAACGCCTGCTAGGGCACTTATTCACACCCAGCCTGTTGGGAAGGACTTCTTGTCAATGAGAACACATCTCGTGTTTAGTTGTATGTAAACGTTAACTCAATTTGACAGGCATGGCAAGGACTGACTAATGTCTGCTCTTAGATGATGTCATCCCCAAAATTATAAATAGAATATCATTTCTTATTAATATCCCTCCTAGATGCCATTATCCTCTATTGTACCCCCATTTGGAACACATATCAGTCCATATATGTTGGATTTATTCAGGTAAGTGACCACTAATCTTATAATCCTGTATTAAGTACTCCCATCTATGTAGATGGAGTGGGCGGATAATGTGTTTTCCATTATGAATCGGAAAGTACAGTACAGTGTGTGTTTGCAATACGGGCCAGGAGCAGGAAATGTTATTGCCTCCTGAATGGGGCTGTGTGGCTATGGGGTGGGGTAGGTAGATTGCCTCCTGAATGGGGCTGTGAGGGTATAGGGAGGGGTAGGTGCAGATGGAGAGGGGGTGTGGGCGGGGGCGGTAAGGGTGTGGTGCCAGTGTCCTGGATGAGGAATTTATGATGGCTGGATGAATGAATTAATGACTGTAGTCAGATAGAGGAAGGGTCAGGAGAGCGAGGAGCTAGTGGAGATTAGGTCACATCATCAGACTCTGCTGTCGTGGGGCAGGTGGGGCAGGGCTACCCCGGGCCTCCTCTCGGGGCAGCGCTGGGGGTAGGGCACACTACGGGTGGAGTGCAGCAGGCCGGGGAGCTCCCTGGGGGCTCGGCCCCAACGCCAGGACACCCTCCCCCACCTGGGGCTCACGCACTCCATCCTCCGGGTGCGCCTCCCCGCGTGCCCAAACAGGGCGGCCGCCAGGGGCCATTGTCCGTCTGAGCTGGGCTCCTGGCAGGCGGGGACACAGGGTTTAGGCTGGGGCTTGTGCCTGGAGCCCTGGAGCCCCTCTTCTAGGTAGGGCAACCAGGCCGCCCCATGGCCCTCGGCAGGCATGAGGTTCTGGGTGAGGGCTAAGGAGGCGGGAGGGTGTGAGCAGGCAGGGGGGAGCCTGATCCGACCATCCTCTCCCAGCATGGGCCCCAGCAGGCCTAGGCTGGTTCTGTCTGTCAACGAGTCCGTGCGGTCTTCATAGCCCAGGTCAGCTGGAGCTGAGCACTGCTGCAGGAAACAGTGACCCTTCCCCCCAACATCTGTGGTGCCCCCGTCCTGGCAGCCCATCTCTCCTTGACCTTCCTCCTCCACCTCCGCCACTTCTTTGTCCTTTCCCTCCTCCCCCTCTTTGTCCTCCTCTCCCGGCGGGGGCGCGCGGAGGTCTCTGAGGAAGACCACAATGACTGAGATGTTGTCGCTGGAGCCGGCGTCACGGGCCGAGGCCACCAGCTTGTGGGCCACCATGGTGCTGTCGCCGCTGTTCTCTGTCAGGTGGTCGCTGACCACACGCACTGCCTCGTCGGGACTGACTGTGTCATAGAAGCCGTCGCAGGCCAGGATCAGGTAGTCCTCCGTGCCGTCCAATGGGACGATGTGTTGGTCGGCATCGCCAGAGATGTAGGGCTTGTGCTCATTGTCGCCTGTCAATCACCAAGACAAAGAGAGATAAGAAACGAGGGAAACAAATCATATATTCTATATATTGTAAAATGTTTCTCATTGAAGCACTTTTTATAAAAACATTTAAACCCCCAAAGAGCTGACAACAATATCATGTGATATTCAGTGCTGCTTTATCTGTCAAGTCCACCAGGCTATGCATCTCTGTTTTGAAATCATGGTGGAGAAAAACAAAGAATAAATGTTAATTTAACAAATAATAGTAAATAATATACAGTGGGGAAAAAAAGTATTTAGTCAGCCACCAATTGTGCAAGTTCTCCCACTTAAAAAGATGAGAGAGGCCTGTAATTTTCATCATAGGTACACGTCAACTATGACAGACAAAATGAGAAAAAAAATCCAGAAAATCACATTGTAGGATTTTTAATGAATTTATTTGCAAATTATGGTGGAAAATAAGTATTTGGTCAATAACAAAAGTTTCTCAATACTTTGTTATATACCCTTTGTTGGCAATGACACAGGTCAAACGTTTTCTGTAAGTCTTCACAAGGTTTTCACACACTGTTGCTGGTATTTTGGCCCATTCCTCCATGCAGATCTCCTCTAGAGCAGTGATGTTTTGGGGCTGTCGCTGGGCAACACAGACTTTCAACTCCCTCCAAAGATTTTCTATGGGGTTGAGATCTGGAGACTGGCTAGGCCACTCCAGGACCTTGAAATGCTTCTTACGAAGCCACTCCTTCATTGCCCGGGCGGTGTGTTTGGGATCATTGTCATGCTGAAAGACCCAGCCACATTTCATATTCAATGCCCTTGCTGATGGAAGGAGGTTTTCACTCAAAATCTCACGATACATGGCCCCATTCATTCTTTCCTTTACACGGATCAGTCGTCCTGGTCCCTTTGCAAAAAAACAGCCCCAAAGCATGATGTTTCCACCCCCATGCTTCACAGTAGGTATGGTGATCTTTGGATGCAACTCAGCATTCTTTGTCCTCCAAACACGACGAGTTGAGTTTTTACCATCTGACCATATGACATTCTCCCAATCCTCTTCTGGATCATCCAAATGCACTCTAGCAAACTTCAGACGGGCCTGGACATGTACTGGCTTAAGCAGGGGGACACGTCTGGCACTGCAGGATTTGAGTCCCTGGCGGCGTAATGTGTTACTGATGGTAGGCTTTGTTACTTTGGTCCCAGCTCTCTGCAGGTCATTCACTAGGTCCCCCCGTGTGGTTCTGGGATTTTTGCTCACCGTTCTTGTGATCATTTTGACCACATGGGGTGAGATCTTGCGTGGAGCCCCAGATCGAGGGAGATTATCAGTGGTCTTGTATGTCTTCCATTTCCTAATAATTGCTCCCACAGTTGATTTCTTCAAACCAAGCTGCTTACCTATTGCAGATTCAGTCTTCCCAGCCTGGTGCAGGTCTACAATTTTGTTTGTGGTGTCCTTTGACAGCTCTTTGGTCTTGGCCATAGTGGAGTTTGGAGTGTGACTGTTTGAGGTTGTGGACATGTGTCTTTTATACTGATAACAAGTTCAAACAGGTGCCATTAATACAGGTAACGAGTGGAGGACAGAGGAGCCTCTTAAAGAAGAAGTTACAGGTCTGTGAGAGCCAGAAATCTTGCTTGTTTGTAGTTGACCAAATACTTATTTTCCACCATAATTTGCAAATAAATTCATTAAAAATCCTACAATGTGATTATCTGGAGAAAAAAAATCTCAATTTGTCTGTCATAGTTGACGTGTACCTATGATGAAAATTACAGTCCTCTCTCATCTTTTTAAGTGGGAGAACTTGCACAATTGGTGGCTGACTAAATACTTTTTTTCCCCACTGTATCTGCTGCTTGCCGCCTTGTCACCTAGACTTGTTGTTCAGCACTTTGGCCCCGATTCCGACCAGAGTTAAGAGCGCGTAAATGTTATTCCCTTTTTATGCACTTTTCTCTCTTTGCATATTCATGCTATTCACCTGCTATTCGTTCGGGATGGAGATCTAAGAAATGAAGGTGTGGCGGAGGTGTGTCTACAGATAGTGTGTCTGACCTTGACTTAATTCCTTCATAATTCCACTTTCTTTTTTCTGATAGAAATAACAGCATTCTCCATGCACTGTAATTTCTAACTTGATAAGAGCTATTGATAAGAGCTAGGTAAACAAGTAATCCTTTTGGATAAGGGGATTGTATTACCTTATAATCGCTGGAAACAAGTGTGAAACCAGTCATATGGCAGCAAACTGAAGCATATCAACATTCCCACAGTAAAGTTTATGAAATACTGTGCCATTATGTAGAATTGTAATTGTACAGCCTTTTAACTTGCAGGGATGGGTACTCTCGACAGTCTTAATTATAGGCTACACGAACTTTCTCTGTTTCCTATTTCTATCATAAATATTAGCCACTATCAGTATCGACCGTCAGTAGGCCTAATAACAACACATATTCAACTGGCAATTTACTGTTAGTTCCCCTCAGTTGGTATAGCCTACATTATCATTCCATTTCATTACATTGTTTAGTTTACCTTCATTTGCTTCCTCTGTAAACGCCGTCACGGCCGTGTGGTTGTTGCTGAGTATCATTAGTAACAGTTGATTGAGTAATTTTAAACACCAGTTGGTGTTGAAACTGAGACGAATATGCATATATTTAGATGGCTTTCTTTCATTGATCCTTATTTTCTGAACCCGTTCTCTTGATGTATTCTAGTCTGTCGACAAAATAAAAGGTACACCGTATTTAAAGGGATGGCTTAAGATAAATGTACTGTAAACCCTATTGAATGGAAACTCCACAAGAAAATCTGTTGGCCAGCATGTGGGAGGGTTTTCAGCTGATTAATTACATTTATTCAGCGCGCGCAAGGGAACCACACCTGCAAAGCCTGTTACGCACCTTCATAAGGTAAGTTTGAATACCAACTACTGAGAAGTGCATAGGAAAGGCGTGTGTAAGAATGGCGTAATTTCGGGAACCTGTGACTAATGTATTTATTTTTATGTATGAATATCAGTATTGCAATATCTGTCATTTCTCCTCTCCTTCATGCAGCAGGAATTAAACCGTTCTAATGTAGCAGCCATTTGCTGTCGAGGAAGCGGTTGTTTTGATATCAGATTATTGGAGTTTTTGGATTTGGGAACAGCAGGTCACAGTAGGGCTTCCTCACTAGCCACCACTAAAATAACCATCAGGAAATAAGACTAGAAGCTAGTCCTCAAGTTGCCTTGTGTATCAGGGTAAGGTGTCAATTAGAATTGAGGTCAGTTATTTTCATTTGGAATAAAATAAAATAAAATAAAATAACTTCCTAAATAGACTTCAATTCGAATTGACCCCAACCCTATTGTGTATGTAAATAGGTACAGTTGGATTCTAAGGCAGTCTTTACAGTGGATTCCAATGTAGAGGCCATTTGTTTTCAAGAGAACAACAGTATTATTGTGATGTATTATTGGAGCTGTGAGATTATTCCATCTAATCCCATTAGGATTTTAAATACCTGCTGGGAAATCAGACTGGTCACCTAACCTAAAGTTACGTACACCTGTGTATGCATAAAGGTACAGGCAACCCCCACTTCTGGGTTCTATTTGTCTCCCGCTCAGCACTGTGTCAGCTGACCCTTGGCTGTGGCCTTTAAGACTATGTCATGACCTCTGTGCTCTGGCACTCAATCGCCAAGATAGTTTAGATTGATTATGGGCCTCCTGCTGAGTGGTGAGTTGCACACATACGCACTCTCTGCTTGACACACACACACACTCTCTGCACGACACACACACTCTCTGCATGACACACTCCGACCTCTTGCTGACCTCTCAATAGTGTCAACACTCCTCTCATTCAGTCGGTGACCAAGGCAACACACACACACACACACACAGCCAGGTCACAACAGCCATATCAACTCCAACCAGAGGAGGTCCAGGGAGGATTCAGCAGCAGGCATGGTACAGCAGCTACTGTACAGTCTGTAAATTGTACTCTATATGCTAATTGTATAAATACAAGGCATAGAGTGATTGTTTGTGTACCTATGGCTCTGGATACGGACAGGCTGCCATTAACCCTCCACGTGCCGAACCAGATGACACAGCCTCCCAGAGCCTCAATACGCAGCTTCTCATCCTGCAGAGAGAGAGATAAATATGGTATTATGTATAATGGCATGTGGTTGTACAGTGAGGGAAAAAAGTATTTGATCCCCTGCTGATTTTGTACGTTTGCCCACTGACAAAGAAATGATCAGTCTATAATTTTAATGGTAGGTTTATTTGAACAGTGAGAGACAGAATAACAAACAAAAAATCCAGAAAAACGCATGTCAAAAATGTTATAAATTGATTTTTTTGTTGTTATTCCGTCTCTCACTGTTCAAATAAACATACCATTAAAATTATAGACTGATCATGTCTTTGTCAGTGGGCAAACTTATAAAATCAGCAGGGGATCAAATACTTTTTTCCCTCACTGTATATGAGACAGATTTCTCTGCTCAAGTGATGTTAACCCCTGTGTGTGAAGTGAACAGTGATTAAAGGAGTGTGTTTTGTATGTGTGTGTGTGCGTGTGTGCGTGTGACCTCTCTGTCAGGCTTGTGAGGCTTCATCAGTTCCACAGCCTGGCCCTTCTTGACCAGCATGACCTGAGAGTCCCCCAGCCAGGCCACATACAGGGTCCGCCCCCTCAGGAAGGTCACCACCCCCGTGGTGCCACAGCGCAGGTTCTGTAACACACAGACACAGACAGACAGACAGACAGACAGACAGACAGACAGACAGACAGACAGACAGACAGACAGACGGACGACGGACAGACGGACAGACGGACGGACAGACGGACGGACGGACGGACGGACGGAAGCACACACACACATTTAGACATAGAAACGTATATGAATGTCCGGTAACATGTCTATTGGGTCATTCCATTTGATTTCAATCAGTTTTTGACCGCACCCCATTTGATTTGAACGAAAATGTCCATACTATACCAATTTGAGCCCTTACCTCCATCTTAGCTTTACGGATGAAGCGTTCGTCGGTGACTCTGAAGGCGCGACACAGGGCCTCCCCCGGATCTTGGCTAAAGCACTCCTGGTGCACCATGTTGACATGAAGGTGGTTGGCGGCGTAGATGGCGGCGTCCACGCCCCCGTGGCCATCGAACACAGCGAAGAAGGCCTGCTCCTCCTGGTCCTGAAAACACACACACAGGTCAAAGGTCAAAACAGTATGACAAGAGGGTGAGCCTGCAATGTCTTAGAGCTTCAATACTTTCAGGAAGCACTCTTATTTCTTCACTTCATTGGAGTCATCACCTGTTCTAACATGATAGTAATTAATGTATAGACTCTCATCAAGAGTATGAAGCAATGCAAAGCATTCATCTGTCCAATGTCAATAATCTTATTTTGAAAAATTTTTTAATTTACCTTTATTTAACCAGGTAAGATAGTTGAGAACAAGTTCCATAAACATCTTTACAACAAGCTTCCATAAACAAACTTAACTCATCATAGTAATGTTTTCTAAATTACAATATCTTCTACAGCATAGTTAGTTGCATGTCACTCTTGTGACGTTGTGTGTTTTCCATGAATGGAATGCGTAGTAGTGCCTCGTCACAAATATGCAAATCCAAATATAACCTGTTTGCGTCTCCATCTATTTGCTTTAATTAACTGGGGTTTAATGCCAATTAGCAGGCTTACCCGCCACTAGCATGCTTAGCTAATAAAATTGGATAAACATTTGATTCAACTGAATAATTATCTCAGGATCCTTGAGCTTGTGGCTCTGCCTGTCTGTCCCTGGGACGTCTCATTGGCCAGTTGTCTCAGAGGGGACGTAAGGGGAGGGGCCATAATCGTTGGGGATGACTGGCAAAATAATAAGGATATTGACTCTGTGTGGCTCAGATAACATGCCATTATCAGGCTGGTGTGTGTGTGTGTGTGTGTGTGTCTGTCAAATAAAATCAAATTTGATTGGTCGCGTACACATATTTTGCAGTTATCGCAGGTGCAGCGAATTGCTTATATTTCTTGCTCCAGTTCTATCTGTCTGTCTGTGTGTGTGAGTTGTTCAGCTTCATTTAAATAATTTCCCTCGTGCCCGAGGGAGCACGTTAGAGTGCTGTAGCCAATAATGCTATTAGAAGCATTTCATTCAACATCAGCTACCTACTGTGCTATCATTTACTGTTCTCATTGGGGTTGTAATGGGAATAACTCGGCTAGGGGAGTTTTATTGATCTCCCCCCAATAGTGAAGTGAGTCGGTAGCTTCCCAGCCGGGTTAGCCCACTCAGTGGGGGATCTCTTAATTAGTTGATATACATAGAAGAATTAAGTCTCTTTTTAGCCAGAGGGCAGCGATTTTGAAGAGTGCCTCTACAGGGTTGGGGTCAATTCCATTTCAATTCAGGCAATTCAGGATGTAAACTGAAATTCCAACTCCAATTTCCCTCAATGCTTCTCACTCTAAAAGAGCTCTCTGGAAACCCCAAGACACAAGACAGATGGCATCCTAATGACCACAAAATCAGTACCTTGTTCTTGGCCACACTCAAAAGATACCCTCCTATCAAAGACTCCAGGATGTCTGTCATTGTTTGAATTCTTCTCAGAATTTGGAATTGGAATTTCAGTTTACTTCCTAAATTGACTGAATTGAAATGTGCTATATCACGTGGTGATACTGTGTATTATTGTTCTTGCATCAAGTGGTAGGCCAAATGTTGCTAAGAAACATTCAAACAATGACAGACATCCTGGAGTCTTTGATAGGAGGGTATCTTTTGAGTGTGGCCAAGAACAAGGTACTGATTTTGTGGTCATTAGGATGCCATCTGTCTTGTGTCTTGGGGTTTCCAGAGAGCTCTTTTAGAGTAAGCACTTTTAAGGCCACTATAGGGTTGGGCGGTATCCAGATTTCATTACTTCATACCGTTTCTGTACCATACCGGGGTATACGGTATTACCGGAAGTGAACACCCCCCCGCAGCCCACGAGAGGCGGGGGGCTTCCCAACCCACATTTTTTATATCTATATATATTTTTTGTAACGGTATTGAAAATCATACTGTCGGTATGTCTAAATACCCCGGTATCCGGTATATCACCCAAGCCTAGGCTACTAGGGAGAAGCCATAGGGCAGGGCTACAGTAGTACTCAAGCCCTCCTTTCCCACCCTCTCCTCTTATGCTTTTACCAGAAACGCCAATCAATGGTAATTGAATTTAAAGAGTCAAGTCCATATCCCCTTAATGGTTATGGTTAGAACTGGAGGGTAATCTGATACTAGATCTGTGGTTGAAGGCTGCTCTCTTCATCAACCTAGCGACATGCTGGAGTCATCCGTACCTGTATGTTGAACTGATCCTAGACCTGCGGTTAAGGATTACTCTGTTCATGCTTACCTGTATGTTGAAGAGAGTGTTGAAGTCGGGGATGACGATATGTTTGTCCTCCATCTTGCGCCTCATATTTTTGATGGCGTGGATGGAGGTCTCGTAGTAGGGCTGAGGCCGGCGGCGGTAAGGGAAGTCTTTCAGCCACAGGCAGCATGTTTCACACAGCTTGTTGAAGATGAGCCGGGCAAAGGCCACCGACTCAATCTCTAAAAGAGGACACACGCACAAACACACGCACAAACACACGTACATACACACATACACACACAAATGGCATGTGATCAGACCACAGGCTCACACATATACATTATACACGCATGTATGCGTGCATAAGTGCATCATTTATAGCCTCCAGATGTACAGTGGGGAGAACAAGTATTTGAAACACTGCCGATTTTGCAGGTTTTCCTACTTACAAAGCATGTAGAGGTCTGTAATTTTTATCAAAGGTACACTTCAACTGTGAGAGACGGAATCTAAAACGAAAATCCAGAAAATCACATTGTATGATTTTTAAGTAATTAATTTGCATTTTATTGCATGACATAAGTATTTGATCGCCTACCAACCAGTAAGAATTCCGGCTCTCACAGACCTGTTAGTTTTTCTTTAAGAAGCCCTCCTGTTCTCCACTCATTACCTGTATTAACTGCACCTGTTTGAACTCGTTACCTGTATAAAAGACACCTGTCCACACACTCCATCAAACAGACTCCAACCTCTCCACAATGGCCAAGACCAGAGAGCTGTGTAAGGACATCAGGGATAAAATTGTAGACCTGCACAAGGCTGGGATGGGCTACAGGACAATAGGCAAGCAGCTTGGTGAGAAGGCAACAACTGTTGGCGCAATTATTAGAAAATGGAAGAAGTTCAAGATGACGGTCAATCACCCTCGGTCTGGGGCTCCATGCAAGATCTCACCTCTTGGGGCATCAATGATCATGAGGAAGGTGAGGGATCAGCCCAGAACTACACAGCAGGACCTGGTCAATGACCTGAAGAGAGCTGGGACCACAGTCTCAAAGAAAACCATTAGTAACACACTACGCCGTCATGGATTAAAATCCTGCAGCGCACGCAAGGTCCCCCTGCTCAAGCCAACGCATGTCTAGGCCCGTCTGAAGTTTGCCAATGACCATCTGGATGATCCAGAGGAGGAATGGGAGAAGGTCATGTGGTCTGATGAGAAAAAATAGACCTTTTTGGTCTAAACTCCACTCGCCGTGTTTGGAGGAAGAAGAAGGATGAGTACAACCCCAAGAACACCATCCCAACCGTGAAGCATGGAGGTGGAAACATCATTCTTTGGGGATGCTTTTCTGCAAAGGGGACATGACGACTGCACCGTATTGAGGGGAGGATGGATGGGGCCATGTATCGCGAGATCTTGCCTCAATAAGAGCATTGAAGATGGGTCGTGGCTGGGTCTTCCAGCATGACAACGACCCGAAACACACAGCCAGGGCAACTAAGGAGTGGCTTCGTAAGAAGCATCTCAAGGTCCTGGAGTGGCCTAGCCAGTCTCCAGACCTGAACCCAATAAAACATATTTGGAGGGAGCTGAAAGTCCGTATTGCCCAGCGACAGCCCCGAAACCTGAAGGATCTGGAGAAGGTCTGTATGGAGGAGTGGGCCAAAATCCCTGCTGCAGTGTGTGCAAACCTGGTCAAGACCTACAGGAAACGTATGATCTCTGTAATTGCAAACAAAGGTTTCTGTACCAAATATTAAGTTCTGCTTTTCTGATGTATCAAATACTTATGTCATGCAATAAAATGCAAATTAATTGCTTAATAATCATACAATGTGATTTTCTGGGATTTTTGTTTTAGATTCCGTCTCTCACAGTTGAAGTGTACCTATGATAAAAATTACAGACCTCTACATGCTTTGTAAGTAGGAAAACCTGCAAAATCGGCAGTGTATCAAATACTTGTTCTCCCCACTGTATATTCACATTTGCTCACATTAAAATAATGTGCAAAATAATATACATGCATGTAGACTCACATGAAACCATACACACGTAATCAGAGAAAGGCACACCAATGTGCTCCTGTGCCCAAATGCGCGCGCTGCCTTTAAACTTCTATCGTGCTGTAGCGCAGCTCTTCAGGACTACGGATTGAATCAAGCCCTTAGCCTTTTACTTCTCTGTCACAGTGAGTCGAGCAACAGAGAGGGACTCAGGAGACAATGTTAAAGTGTTTGTTTTTATTTTGTTGAACCTGAAATATAGATAAACATCTCTAAGTACTCTGTTTCCTAGTTACCTTGGTTGTTGTGAGGGAGGATTAACTGGGTGACTGACATTCGTAAGAAAACTTGTGGTTTTACTGTTTGTTGCAAAGGGCTCACTTATTGTTAATTTGTAACTTACAGAATAGTAGCGGTTATAATTTGCCTTAAGAAGCTCTGATGCTTCCTATAGAGTCCTATATTTTACTATAGATACCTATAATCCTATAAATACTGTGAGATTTCAAGATGTAGGTCGTTTTTCTACTTACCTAGAGTCAGATGAAATCATGGATACTATTTCTATGTATCTACATGCAGTTTGGAGATAATTTAAATTAGTATATCGTTAGCCTAGCACAATTGCTGGTAGTCTCCAAGTACAGTTGCCAGCTCCTCTCAAAAGCAGGGAAATAGACCTTCTAACTACTCCAAAGCTTGGTGGTTAGCACTTGGTATTATGTATTGTTTACAAGTCCATATGAAACTATAATATTTAAAATAAAATAATGTTTTAAATGCATTTTTACTTTACTATTTTCTCTGAAGTACGCATTTCATTCATCCGCCGTGGGCACACGGACCCGCCGTGGGCACCGCTGTGCGTGACCTCTCAAGTCAACACAGTGGCCAGATGCGACAGCGGGACAGAATGAGGAGGTTGATAGAATCTTGTTTCTTATTATGTATAGCTTTGTAAGACATATTATAAATGACCAACCACCCAGCTTTGGAGTAGTCTATTTCCCTGCTTTTGAGAGGAGCTGCAGACTTCCAGCAATTAAGCTAACTATATGCTAACTTCAATTATCTCCAAACTGCACGCAGAGACATAAAAATGGTATCCATGAGTTCATTTGACTCTGGGTAAGTAGAAAAACAACCAAAATCTAAAAATCTTGCAGTATCCCTTTAAGACTCCATAGCCCTTGTAATGAATATCTGGACAAGGTCATTTTGAATTAATTCTCTGCTCCACCTAGTGGAACTAAGGACTTGGTCTTTCCACTCCCCACTCCTCCTCACTCTCCTTTCTTCCCCTCCCCTCCTCTCCTCTCCGTTCCTCTCCTCTCCTCTCCGTTCCTCTCCTCCTCCTCCTCCTCCTCCTCCTCTCCCTAGCTCCCCAGGCTCTGTAGTTAAATTTAACCTCCCATTCCATCTCAGAGCCCTGTCAATGAGCTGTGTGTGTGGGTGTGTGGGTGTGTTTGTGTGTCTCCTCTGCCTTGGGCCTCGACGGCCAGGCTGTCTGCTATCCTCTGTTCTTACCCACCCTTACCGCCCACCTGACATTCACCAACCCACCCTCCGTCCCAAGACAGCAACCCCGTCACACAAATCACCAGAGCCAAAATTATCTTTCCCCTGCGTTCTCTTTATGCCTCCTCTCTCTCTCTCTCTGATAAGAACACAGAGATCTTAAAGATGGAGTGTCGCAGGGTTATTCACTGCTGTTCCCTTCTCTTCTAAAAGACCTCTGCTCTCACTCGCTCGCTCCACAGAGTGCTTTGTTTTACATTTACATTACATTTACGTCATTTAGCAGACGCTCTTATCCAGAGCGACTTACAAATAGGTGCATTCACCTTATAGCCAGTGGGATAACCACTTTACAATGTTTTTTTTGTGTGTTTTTTTTGGGGGGGTGGGGTAAGGGGGGGTAGAAGGATTACTAACAAAGTAAAGGGAATTCTAAGTGACAGCGGTTGACATCAATCTGTGGTATAAAAAAAGTGAACCAGGAAGTGCAACTGTTTTAATGCTAAGAAATTGTAGCAGCTGTGCCACAAACACAATGTGTTTGTGTTAAAGTTGGTGATTTTCTAATTTGTCCACGGTGTTGAATGAAACAACACCTGAAATGATAAAGGCTTTAAGCCAATATATTGAATAAAAAGTAACTCTGTCCTTACAGTAGCCTAGCTAGGTCAGTACATGATCTGATTTGCATGTCATGCGCAGGCTGACAGGGGACTCACGGGGGAAAGGTTCTACTCCATCCTCAACGGTCTTCTGGATGTGGTAGATGGAGAGGTCACTCTGCAGAACACTGTCTGCTGTAGCCCGCGCCAGGGCAGCCGCCAGGGAGAAGGGGCAGTTACTGTAGGAGAGAGAGAAAAAAGAGAATGAGAGGGGTTATAACATCCATTCAACACCAGGGAGGAAGTGAGATGAAAGCCTAGGAGGAATAGAGGGAAGGAGGTATAGGATGATTATAGCAACCAGATATAACAGTCATATAGTATAGAGATTGAGAGAGACTGATGGAGAGAGAGAGTGTGCTAGGTTGTGGCTGTAACATCCCCATCAACCTTACTTGAGTTATCATACTCCAATGAGACCAGCCTATAGACCTACAGTCCTCAATGACCAGCTCTCACTTCAACCATTAGGCCTACCATCAATTAATTTCACTGAAGTAATTCCCTCCATTGAGCAGCTTTAACCAATCCCAGAGCAGAAGTCTGTCTGTCTGTCCTTTGGCATGAGACAGGCCTGTTAATTCTCCACGTTCCAATCGCTCCTGGTTTGGCCACCAAGGCTTTTCTATCAGTCATGACTCAGTCCAGCGGAGGAGAAAAGCTGTTGTGATGAAACAAATGTTTGTTATTTTAGAAATGTTTCTCCCCAATTTCGTGATTCCGATCTTGTCTCATCGTTGCAACTCCCCAACGGTCTCGGGAGAGGCGAAGGTCGAGTCATGCGTCCTCCAAAACATGACCCGCCAAACCGCGCCTCAGCACCGGCTCGCTTAACCCGGAAGCCAGCTGCACCAATGTGTCGGAGGAAACACTGTTCAACTGACAAGAAAAGTCAGCCTGCAGGCGATTGGAACGTGGAGAATTAACAGGCCTGTCTCATGCCAAAGGACAGACAGACAGCCTGCAGGCGCCCGGCCCGCCACAAGGAGTCGCTAGAGCGCGATGAGCCAAGTAAAGCCCCCCCGGCCAAACCCTCCCCTAACCCGGACGATGCTGGGCCAATTGTGCGCCGCCCTATGGGACTCCCGGTCACGTCCGGTAATGACACAGCCTGGGATCGAACCACAGGCTGTAGTGATGCCGCAACACTGCAATGCAGTGCCTTAGACTGCTGCGCCACTCGGGAGGCCCCGAAATGCTTGTTTTTTAACAGATTGTTTTCTCCACTGTGGGATGAGTGACACAACCAACCTTTGGGATCCAATGTGGGAGTTTCCTAACACTGGTGGGGGATCCTGAGCATTGTTCTGCCACCACTCCATTTCGGGTCTTTTAGTTGTGTATTCACGTATGATGCCCCGCCCACTTGACCTACTTCCTGATCGAACGCAGTTGATTTCCATTTTAGGTTAACAGCGCCGGATAGCTAGCTAGCTAGTTAGCATCTAGTAAAAGATGGCGCCGCTAGATGGCAGTGCGCTATTCAATTGGCATGCAAGTTCTGAGGAACGCTGCCGGAAGTAAGAAAACAATCACAAGAAAATGTCCACGCTCTTGTTGTCAGGCTTAAGGCGCAGGTAAGGTGAATAATAATGGCAATAGTAATGGCATCTTTTTGTAGGCACTAACTCTGCCATGGTTGGTTGGAAAAAGTATATGGGGAAATTCTGTTTTTGTACGGTTTTTGGATAAACGCCAAAAATAATGTCTGTGGTAAACACAGGCTTAGGAGATCTTTTCGTTTGGTTCTATGAGATAATCTTCATCAGCTAACGTAACTTTTTGTGAATTTTTTAGCATTTATATATTCAGAAAAAGCACATAAAGGCTTCATAATTTATAAGGGTCCAAATCAAATCAAATTGTATTTGCCACATGCTTTGTAAACAACAGTGAAATGTTTACTTACGGGCCCTTCCCAACAATGCAAAAATAATAAATACACAATGAGTAACGATAACTTGGCTATATACACGTGGTACCAGTACTGAGTCGATGTGCAGGGGTACGAGGTAATTGAGGTAGATATGTACATTTAGGTAGGGATAAAGTGATTAGGCAACAGGATATATAATAAACGGTAGCAGCAGTGTATGTGATGAATCAAAAGAGTGCAAAAAGGGTCAATGCAGATAGTCCGGGTAGCTATTGGTTAACTATTTAACTAACTATTTAGCAGTCTTGGTGCATCGGTACCGCTTGCTGTGCGGTAGCAGAGAGAACAGTCTATGACTTGGGAGGCTGGAGTCTTTGACCACTTTTAGGGCCTTCCTCTGACACCGCCTGGTATAGAGGTCCTGGATGGCAGGGAGCTCGGCCCCAGTGATGTACTGGGCCATACGCACTAACCTCTGTTGCGCCTTGCGGTCGGATGCCAAGCAGTAATGCCATACCAAGCGGTGATGCAGCCAGTCAAGATGCTCTCAATGGTGCAGCTGTAGAACTTTTAGAGGATCTGAGGGCAATGCCAAATCTTTTCAGCCTCCTGAGGGGGAAGAGGCGTTGTCGTGCCTTCTTCATTACTTTGTTGGTGTGTGTGGACCATGATAATTGTTTAGTGATGTGGACACAGAGGAACTTGAAGCTCTCAATCCGCTCCACTACTGCCCTGTCGATGTGGATGGGGGCGTGCTCGGCCCTTTGTTTCCTTTAGTCCACGGTCAACTCGTTTGTCTTGCTGTCGTTGAGGGAGAGGTTGTTGCCCTGGCACCACAATGCCAGGTCACTGACCTCCTCCCTATAGGCAGTCTCATCGTCATCAGTGATCAGGCCAACTACCGTCGTGTTGTCAGCAAACTAAATGATGGTGTTGGAGTCGTGTGCAGCCACGAAGTCGTGGGTGAACAGGGATTACAGGAGGGGACTAAGCATGCACCCCTGAGGGGCCCCTGTGTTGAGGGTCAGCGTGGCGGACGTGTTGTTGCCTACCCTCACCACCTGGGGGCGGCCCGTCAGGAAGTCCAGGATCTAGTTGCAGCAGGAGGTGTTCAGTTCCAGGGTCTTAAGCTTAGTGATGAGCTTGGAGGGCACTATGGTGTTGAACGCTGCGCTATAGTCAAAGACCAGCATTCTAACATAGGTGTTCCACTTGTCCAGGTGGGAGAGGGCAGTGTGGAGTGCAATAGAGATTGCGTCATCTGTGGATCTGTTGGGGCGGTATGCGAATTACAGTGGGTCCATAGTGTGTGATGATGGTGTTGATGTGAGCCATGACCAGCCTTTCAAAGCATTGCATGGCTACAGATGTGAGTGCTACGAGGCAATAGTCATTTAGACAGGTTACCTTGGCGTTCTTGGGCACACAGACTATGGTGGTCTGCTTGAAACATGTAGGTATTACAGACTGGGTCAGGGAGAAGTTGAAAATGTCAGTGAAGACACTTGCCAGCTGGTCAGCGCATGCTTTGAGTACGCGTCCTGGTAATCCGTCTCCTTGGTGAATGTTCACACAGTCGTCCGGAACAGCTGGTGCTCTCATGCATGGTTCAGTGTTGCTTGCCTCGAAGCGAGCATATAAGGAATTTAGCTCATCTGGAAGGCTCACGTCACTGGGCAGCTCGCACCTGGGTTTCTCTTTATAATCTGTGATAGTTTGCAAGACCTGCCACATCCGACAAGCTTCTGAGCCGGTGTAGTAGGATTTGATCTTAGTCCTGTATTGATGTTTTGACTGTGTGATAGCTCGTCGGAGGTCATAGCGGGATTTCTTATAAGCGTCCGGATTAGTGTCACGCTCCTTGAAAGTGGCCTCTCTATCCTTTAGCTCAGTGTGAATTTAATTTCGCCTGTAATCCATGGCTCCTTGTTGGGATATGTACGTAGGGGAAAATACAGTTCCATACAGTAGCCCTTTCTTGGTGAGCTAACAAGGATGAAGCACCTGGATTGATTCAAAGGCAATGTCAAACTGTTTCAGTGAAATCTTATATTGCAATCAAAATATTAATGAGGCCCTTGAACTAGCCCCAACGTGATTTCTATACTGCAGGAGTCACATTGGGGCTAGTCCCCATAGCAACTTGGCTCAGAGACATAGTGGAAAAAATCAAATTTTGAAGTGTCGTTATACTATCAGTGCTAAAAGTACAATGCTTTTTAAAGACAGTATATAACCATGCAGTCCTGAAATCCTTACTGGACTGATGAGAAAACAGCAAAAGACAAAGAAACTACTTGAAATACGTGAAATAACACATCCATTTAGAAGCTCCTTATGCAAACTAGACTGAGAGATACAGTTGAAGTCGGAAGTTTACATACACCTTAGCCAAATACATTTAAACTCAGTTTTCACAATTCCTTACATTTAATCCTAGTAAACATTCCCTGTCTTAGGTCAGTTAGGATCACCACTTTATTTTAAGAACGTGAAATGTCAGAATAATAGTAGAGAGTGATTTATTTAAGCTTTTATTTATTTCATCACATTCCCAGTGGGTCAGAAGTTTACATACACTCAATTAGTATTTGGTAGCATTGCCTTTAAATTGTTTAACTTGGGTCAAACGTTTCGGGTAGCCTTCCACAAGCTTCCCACAATAAGTTGGGTGAATTGTGGCCCATTCCACCTGACAGAGCTGGTGTAACTGAGTCAGGTTTGTAGGCCTCCTTGCTCGCACACGCTTTTTCAGTTCTGCCCACAAATGTTCTATAAGATTGAGGTCAGGGCTTTGTGATGGCCACTCCAATACCTTGACTTTGTTCTCCTTAAGCCATTTTGCCACAACTTTGGAAGTATGCTTGGGGTCATTGTCCATTTGGAAGACCCATTTGCGACCAAGCTTTAACTTCCTGACTGATGTCTTGAGATGTTGGTTCAATATATCCACAAAATGTTCCTTCCTTATGATGCCATCTATTTTGTGAAGTGCACTGGTCCCTCCTGCAGCAAAGCACCCCCACAGCATGATGCTGCCACCCCCGTGCTTCACGGTTGGGGTGGTGTTCTTCGGCTTGCAAGCGTACCCCCTTTTCCTCCAAACATAACGATGGTCATTATGGCCAAACAGTTCTATTTTTGTTTCATCAGACCAGAGGACATTTCTCCAAAAAGTACGATATTTGTCCCCATGTGCAGTTGCAAACCGTAGTCTGGCTTTTTTATGGCGGTTTTGGAGCAGTGGCTTCTTCCTTGCTGAGCGGCCTTTCAGGTTATGTCGATATAGGACTCGTTTTACTGTGGATATAGATACTTTTGTACCTGTTTCCTCCAGCATCTTCACAAGGTCCTTTGCTGTTGTTCTGGGATTGATTTGCACTTTTCGCACCAAAGTACGTTCATCTCTAGGAGACAGAACGCGTCTCCTTCCTGAGCGGTATGACGGCTGCACGGTCCCATGGTGTTTATACTTGCATACTTGTCACGATCGTTGGTTAGAGAGGACCAAGGCGCAGCGTGTTGAGCGAACATACTTTAATAGTAAAGTGCAAACACGAATACAAAACAATAAACGATACGTAACGTCCTCAGACAATGACTGACAAGGAACAAAAACCCACAAACACAAGGTGAACACAGACAGTTTAAATATGGCTCCCAATCAGAGATAACGAGCCGACAGCTGACACTCGTTACCTCCGATTGGGAGTCATTTGACCAAACAAGGAAAACACAACCAATGACAACCCAACCAAACAAAACCCAACCAAAACGAACACACCCTGGCTCAAAATACAAAGTCCCGGAGCCAGAGCGTGACAGTACCCCCCCCCTAAAGGCGCGGACTGCGACCGCGCCTCAAAACCCCAAATAGGGGAGGGCTGGGTGGGTGTTGCTCCTCGGAGGCGGCTCCGGCTCCGGGCTTGACCACCACCCTACTTCAATCCCCCCGTAATGGCCCCGATCCGATCTGACCCAGCTGGCTGGATCAGGACTGACGACGCGCACCCCTGGCTTAGCGCGTGAGGCAGGAACGGACCGGACCTGGCTGACGATACGCACCCTAGGCTTGGTGCGTGGAGCCGGAATGGACCTCACCAGGCTGACGACTCGCATCCCTGGCTTGGTGCGAGTAGCAGGAATGGGCTGGACCAGGCTGACGACTCGCACCCTTGGCTTGGTGCGAGTAGCAGGAACAGGCTGGACCAGGCTGACGACTCGCACCCTTGGCTCGGCGCGTGAGGCAGGAACGGACCGGACCTGGCTGACGATACGCACCCTTGGCTTGGTGCGTGGAGCCGGAACGGACCTCACCAGGCTGACGACTCGCATCCTTGGCTTGGTGCGAGTAGCAGGAATGGGCTGGATCAGGCTGACGACTCGCACCCTTGGCTTGGTGCGAGTAGCAGGAACGAGCTGGACCAGGCCGACGACGCACCCCGT